CTAGAAAAACAGGAATGTTGGGAGATAACTATGATATAAATCTGAGGCAAACACCATAAAAACTATTAGAACAGGCTGTATCAACATTTTGTAAAGTAAATCAATAATTTAATCTCTAACAATTTGTTCCTGCATAACAATATTTAAAAGTAACGGAAAAATTATCTTCAATTTTCTCTTGGACAGACATAAATGCATTCAAAAGGTCGAAAGAATCAAACAAGTTTCAATTATTCTCCCCAGTTTGCTTATATTCCACATATTGGATGTCCCTGAACATTTCCCTTCGAAAGAAAAGCTAGGTGGAATGGACTTGTAAATTGATCTCATCATAGAACGAATGAAAGTTGCCTCGAAATTGTTACCCTTTAACTGTTCAAACAAGTCGTCGGCTCATCGTTCTGTTACCAAGACTCATTCGTACTTAGCTTTCGTGTGTCAGGTTGTAATAGTCATCTAAACTGCGTGAAATCCTATAAACGTTGTTTTAGACAATTCCAATGACTGTCCTGTTTTAACTAACTATTAGGCAAATTCAAATAATCTTTACTGAGTTTTTCGAGTCTCTTTCACATAGACGCTACCAGATGGGTACACAAGATTTTAACATAGTGCCCTATAAAGAGAGTCAAAAAAGAAAGCCCCAGATTCTAGTTATCAATTGACCTAACGATAACACCATTAAAGGAGTAGTGGTTTATCTGCCTATCCTGTCCTAAAGAGCTATTTGGCAAATTCCTTTGGTCTAATTGAAACGTCTTCATTATGGTAAAGAGGAAGGTGTGTTCCAGTTATGACATAATAATAAATTAAAGTGGTTACTGGAATCGATCTGCCTCACAATGGCACTTCACTCTACTTTTATTAGAGGTGCATGATAGTCTCATCCCCACCATCTCGTAGGTGCCTACAATAAGGGTCAAACCCAAGCGTACATAATTCGTGATGACAGCAAATATCTGATGCTGTCCAATCTCATTACAAAAGTGAAAATATTGAAAGGAGAGACTATATGTAAAGTCCACTCGAAAACATCACTGCCAGATGAGTTTATCGAAAATTGTTCGAGAAACTCATTAAGGTTGGATATTATCTTTCTCTCATGTAGTAGTTTTGACATACTACTTTTAGCAGTAGTAGTAGCACTATATTATTATTATTATTGTGATAAGAAGTTAAGAGGAACCAAACAATATCACATGAACTATTCAATAAGTTCAATTTGATTATTTTTAAAGGAAAGAATGCGAATTCACCTTCTCCCAATGGCTGACAGGAGGCTTCTTCCTTCAATATTGGTCGGTCTAAAGGGCGAAAAAAGCGAGGAGAGTGACGGGGACTATAACAGAGATGCTGTGAGTCAGTTTTCACAGTGAGGCTAGGTTCTTCAAGTATGCAAGCCTTTCCTACAGGAGTAGGTGGCGCTTCAGCATCCTCCTCCTCCTCCCCATTTTGCTCTCCAGTCTCTTCCTTTTCAGAAGCCGCCAGAGCATCCATGGCAGAATTTATTGAACAACTTGGCACAATGGCGAACTGTCTCTGGCGGCGACGGCTTCGTTTAGACACGGAATCAGCTGACTCGCTTGTGGCCACAGTGAGCTGGGCTGACTCGGGGCATTGAGTCGGGATTTCTGGACACAATGAAGGAGTTTGTGGCAGTAACGATGAAGCTCGGCTGCCAGACCAGTAAAAATGATGAGAAGGACAGTGATGCTGATAGTGACGAAGAGGATGATGCATAAGCTGTTGACTAGATGAGCATAAACAACAAGAAGAGCTGTTGTTGCAAGAGCCGGTAGAGGAGAAAGCTGACTTCGTCGTCTCTAAAGTAGTCGCAGTGGATGATAACGACATTGACATTCTTGCAGTATGCGATGGAACCGAGGTCGGTGGTGGGGGAAATGGTGCCATTAGGAGTGAATTATGCCCAACCATATCAGAGTCTAAGGTGATAAGATCATATTCTGAACCGTTGCTGGCAGGCTCAGGTCTTGTTAAACCGATTCGCCCATTTACGTGCAAGGCTGCCTCCACCTCGGCGTCCAAAGCAACGGCTTCAGGGTCTGGCTTATCCATAAGTCGCTTACGAGAATGTTGCTGATGCACTTCTACGGGGGCGTTTTCAGGGGCCCTAAGACCTACGTCAGCTTCTTGCTGCTGCAAAACTATAGAGTCAGTATGATGCTCGTCTTCACATAGGCTAAAGAAGTATACTTCTGAATTGTTTTTTTTGGGAAAAAGATCTGAAGGGGACTGACTAGAACTAGGAAGTTCTTTTGATGATGAGCAGAAAGAGGAGGATGAGAAAGAGTCTACGGAAATTGGGGGATGCTGATCAAGCTTCAAAGAAGTGGGGAAAATGCAAGGGAGAAAAGAGGGTAACGGGGTGGCAGGTTCCACAAAATGGACGTCGGTCGGATCCTCAGATGCAGAGGCAAGAAACGATTCGCTGAGTGAACGGCGACTGCCGTCTCTTGTTTCAGTGCTGCAACATCCAATAAAAGGAGTTACAGTACATGTTGAAGATGATGAATCACTCCATCTAGTCACAACTCCAGACGCCGGTGTCCTCTGAAACTTCGACTGCGACGTATGCCTCCGTTCATTAGGCTGCAAAATTTGCTGTCGGCTTCTCCTGAAGTTGTGTTGGGAGGACCAGCGTTGAAGATCTGATGCTGACCTCGTTTGTGACAAATGAACTGGATGACCACGCAGCTCTCGATAAGTTGAACCGGCTTTACAAAATGCCTTATGTACCGCCTCCTTCTTGGACACCGAAATTCCTACCAGTGTGATTGAGGAAGCCAGCTGACCTGGAAAAGAGGTCGTAGCCAAGCCATTTTGATGACATGATCGAGATGATGAATCACTGATTTCCGAAGATCGGATACAAATTTTGGCCGCGAAGTTTGGATTGTCCGTAAATGTGGACGTCTGAGCAGGTGAGTATTGGGTACCAGAGTGGCAATCCTCGAGGCTTATTGGTTTAAAGTTCTCGTTGGGGGCCTGCAAGCTCGATAAATCACCAAAAGAAATTTTGTCTAGGAGTCCTGGGAGCAGATGATTTGACGTCTGTGCACCCCTTGGCTGTAGCTTTTAGAGAACATTTGAAAAAAAATCAAGAAAAGCAATATTGTAATTTTATAGAAAGTGTCATAAAATATAGAGAAAAAATGTAAAAAAAAGTGATAATCCTCCATGAAAAATACTCTTGGTAGTGTCAAAAGTATTGATAAATCAGTGGTAGTGTCAATCTATTCAACTAGTTGCGCTGCGCTGCATTATTTGCCAATGCGAGGAGATTGTTGCAGCCCCTTAGAAGGAGTGTAATTTTCGAGTTGAATGCAAGTAATGGATGATGTAACAACGTCGATGAAATTTATCCTATTTTTATTTAGTTTAAAAAGGCGATTTAGAGAGATTTATGAGTCTATCTTACAAGATAAACGTATAAGTCCTAGCTCTGCTCTGGCATTACCACATTTTAACGTTTGTTCTGGAGCAAAGCAACTCGATTTTGGTGACTACTGTATACTTTCTTATCTATCATATAAATAACAGTGCCAGAGGTCATTGACTTTATAAAATTGTCTATCATGACCAGATAATGCTAGCAGCCAACCTCAATTCGGTCAGGTTAATTAAGCACTATTTGGCTCACTTTTATTTACAATGATACAACTTATTTGTATATTCTAATTACAAATGCAGGCGAATATACACATTAAATTGAGTGCGCATAAATCCATTGATAGAAAAATACCATTAAAAAGTATTAGTTTGATTGCGTAATGATAGAAATCTACAACAGAAAAGATACATTTAGGCAGGATCAGTTCGAAAACATAAAATCTTTGCTTTACCAAAAGTTTTTCTCATCCAGGCTGGAGTGGACTGCAGTTTCGACCTCGCATCAACTGGTCTTATCAACACACCCAGCGGGAATCGAACCGTGCCAGTGCAGAATGTGAGCTCAACACGTTAACAGCTCGGCCGCATTGCCACGAGTGTCCTTGGGTCACAGGGCAAATGTCAATTTCAAGGAAGACCAAGTCTTTTGCCATATCACATTCTTTGGTGGGATTTTCACGGTTCGACTCCCGCTAGGGGTGTTGATAAGATCTATGCGAGGTCGAAGCTGCAGTCCACCTTGGATGAGAATAACTTTTGGGAAAGCAATGATATGTGAAATTCAATGGAAACGTCAGCTATAGTCATATCATTGTAGGAAAATTCTACTACCAGTCCTTCAGCACCTTAAACGAAATAGGGTGAATACAGCTCATATTACTGATTTAATGGTAGCCTCGAAACTTAAATCACATGCGAAAAAAAGAGCTAATGTCAATATATGAATAGAACATTGTGTGATTAAAAAAATTTTATTTCTAAAGTTTCGTAGCGTAATTTAGTTGTCAGAATAAATTTAAATAAGTAAACATTTATTTTTAAAATTCACAACGTTTAAACCAGTAATTTGAAGTTTGTTTCGTTTACTCGGCAATAAACCTATATTCCAGCAAGCAAATCAAAAAGCTTGCAAGTCAGAAAAAATTAAAAAAATTAAGTGACTTACCACAAAAACGCTTAAAATCGTAATGTTTAATAATAATAAGTGATATTTACGTAATAAAATGCCAATTAGTTGAGATATTTTATACAATTTTATAAATTAATTTAAACGTAGATACGAATACCAACATGCCTCAATTCTGGTCACAGTCCCCTGTCGATGAATATAATTGGTCTGACCTCGTTTTCGCAACTTGGTCGTGTGGTTAGGGCGACCTAGTTGGACGGACCTTGACCGAAATCCTCTGTTGTGGTTATTATGGTAAGTCCCAGTGTTGAATAGTGGAATTGGTAGATTACCGGACGTTGGGCCGACCCCGTCAATGAGCCTTATCGGCCTCAATACCAAGCTACAACGCGTCAGAAACAAATGAAGCCAATCCCTCCAACAACTTTCTTCCGAACGGCCTAGCGGTCATTCCTCTTTCCGCCCTGGCCTCTCTATCTACACGCAACACTCACCTCGGTCCCACCCTAACATAACTTTGGACTTGTTTATATTAAACTACTTAAAGAGGCGTTCCTGCTTTGGTGAGTTTACTGTGGCGTCATCACACCTGCTGATTAGCATGCTTCATCTCCCTCTCGAGCTGCAGATACGACTCGGATCTGACTCTAGTCTTCTTCACTGACCCGTAGATCCGTTTCATATCTTTCTGGTTGACTAATTTCACTCGATTCTAGTCCCAGAATAGGTTTTACTCCATGCTCTATTTCTCTAGCCATTAGAAGTACAAACACTGTCACCTCAGAGAATCTAGGTTCTGATTTCCATACCTGCAAGTATCAGACAATGTCACCACGGTTAATCCCCCTGAAGCAATTCATGTACTCTGAGCAAAATGTGAACGTCTACCTCTGTTCACCTGTTCATGTATGTGTTACTAAAGGCCTAAGAAATAGCGCCTGTAGCAAAGTGTACACTGGGACTGGGACCGAGTGAAATCGATCAACCAGAAAGATAAGAAACGATGATGACGATGAAGATCCAGGTGGGAGGCCCAAGTCGGATGAGCAAATCGAGAGGGAGGGAGGAGGCAAGGTAAAAAGCGGGTGTGATGGCGCCACACTAAACTCACCAAAAAATAGCACACTTCTTGACGAGTGGAATATAAAGAAATCGACAGCTGCGATAGGGTGGGAGTAAGACAATAGTGTAGGGAGGGGCCAGGACAGAAATAGGAATGAAAGCACGACTGTTCTGCAGAATGTTGATCAAGGGATTGACTTCAATTGTCTCTGATGAGTTTTGGCTTGGTGCTGAGAAGGGAAAGACTCACTGACGATGTTGATGAGACGTCTGGGAATGTACCAAACACAGGGTCCGACGCTGGAAATTATCATAATTACTACAGTAGAGGACTTTGGACAGAGTGCATCCAACTAGATCTCCCTGATAGCAAGATTAAGTTGCGAAAACGAGGTAGGACCACCTCTATTCATAACTTATTTTGGGCTGATAGTGCCCAAATAATGCATAGATAAATCTAAGAGGAATAGAGGTTGGATATATGAAGAAAGCTGGATAGTAAAGGAATGAGTATAAAAAAGGAAAACTTATTTTTAAAGAAATTTATCATTGCACCCAAATAAAATTGATAAACGAGTAGGTGAAAGTATAGTAGATAATGGCAAACTTTATCACAAACATACCTCTGGACAGGTTTGATCTGATGACAAATAACCGAAAGGAGATGAAGTTACTTCGGATTTACCTGATGAAATATAAAAAAAGTGTGGCAGCAGGTGACTAAATGGAAAATATAGAAGGAATAAACTGATATTGCTATCAAAAAGACATTTAATTAGTAATAAAGGTCAGAAAAAAAATGCTGTGGTGTATAATACTGCTTTCGTGATTTCAGCCTCCACGTTACATTCAGATTTCATAGCTATGATACATTTTAACTGGAGACGTTATACTTGATCAACCAGTAGTTGGGATTTCAAGACTGGGAATGCTTATTATAAATTAAGCCAGCAGTCATGACGATGTCTGTCGCAGAAATAATAAAGATGATAGGTACTGCCAAGGATCCTCGAATTCTCACGAGTAAAGAGGGGCAAGTATTATAATATAAAAGTCCGAAATTTAAAAAAAACAATAAAATATGAAGAGTAACAATAAAATAATCAGCACTATAGCAGGTTGCATATGACTCGT